CGCCAGGATTCCCTGGCTCCGGTTGTTATGGTGACAGCTGCGCCGGTGAATGAGCGTCTTAGTGACACGCGCGCGCCCGCTCAGCCAGATGTGGCCCCGGGGCGCGCCGCGTTCCCGCGGCTACAAGTTCTCGGCGGCGCGGGACCCCCGGGCCCAGGTCGGGGTAAACTATCAGGCAGAGATTGGGGCTCCGGGGGTTGGGCTCATTCCTCTCACAGACTCTGGAACTTCGTCTTGAAAACAAGAGGAACAGTACAGCAAGAACGTTGGGCTCCCTGGATGCCAGGCGCGGGGCGAGGTAGCTCTAATTTACAGTTTCCCTCGCAGCGGGTACATGGCCTGGCACACTGTAAAAGATCAAGAAAAAAAATTTAAATGAGTGAATGGATGACTGAATAAACGAAGTGAGATTAGGAACCCCAGCACTTGACCCTCCACTCTCAGTGAAATCTGAAGGGGTACTGGTGCAAGGGCTGGGAACAAGAACCCCAGGCTATCCAGTTACTGGACACAGGGCAGTGGGGGCCTTCGGATGAATACAGACTGGACCTAGGAGACTGGGTCGCTGGGCAAGCTTGGGGGAACAGATCTCAGGGACAAACCATCAGAGAACCACCAATTCTGAACTGGGTGGTTCTGTCAGCTGTAAGAGGTGGGTAAGGGGAACCTCTGTGGTCTGTAGCAAAGAAGGCTTCCTGGAGGAAGGGGACTTCAGCAAGTCCCCTGTTCACATGACATCCATACTGTAGCTCAGCACTGCTACCAGGAAGCCTGCAGGAGGGGAAAAGGGAGTCATTCTCCTCCTACTCAGACCTGGGGCATCTCCTCCTTCCAGCTGTCAGAGGTGGAAGATGCACCAAGGTCCCTCCAGAGAGAGAATTTGCCTTCCTGGTCCTCTAGGTCACCTCTAGCTCCCTGAGTGGCTTCAGCACCTCTGATCCAGAGTGTAGCGAGGACGTGGACTGACAACGGGCATCTCATCCATCTTCTTATGGCAGGTTCTTCCCTCAAGTCTCTGTGTGACGGCTCCTCATTATTCAGGCACAGTTCATGTGTCACCTCCTGATCTTCCCTGGCCGCTCCAGCTAAAAAACTCCTGCCACTCTCAGTTGCTTTCCATACCATTATTCTGTTTTGTTTTCTGGAACTAGTTTGAAAGTAGCCTTTCCCCCTTGTTTATGTTGAGCCTCCCCCAACAAGAATGTAAGCCCTCTGAGGGGAGAGAGCAGGTCAGCTCCACTCACCATGATGTCCCCAGCCCCTAGGAGAGTGCCTGGCACATGACAGACAATTAAAAAATACTTGTGGAACGGATGAATTCCCCTGCCCACCAGCAGAACTCAGCTAAGATCCCTGGGAGTAAGGCCGGGAATCGCCCTTTATTTCCCTCCCCTGCATCCCACCCCCACCCCATTCCACGCATCACATCCTTAAATGTCTGGGACTCCAGGCGAGCTAGAAATATCCTTGACAGCTGCTCTCTGGGGTCTGGAGGGAAAAACAGCCCCCACCCCCGCCTCCAGCCTCTTAGATGCCCAGGATCACGTGCCCGGCCAGCTACAGAATGGACAAGGCAGGTCAGGAGTGCTGTCTTCTTTATGGGCATATCTTCCCAATGCCCGCTCCCAACCGGTGACTCATGTGTCAGAAATCCATGGGCTCTGAATGGCAGCACACTCACACATTTGCACACATACCTCTATACTTTCTCGCACACTCACTTCTACACAAGCACACACGCACACTCACACGCACTCATATGCCCCCTGAAGTCTGCTGGAATGAGGTCACTGTGAGCTGCTGCTGGCATCAGAATAAATCTGAAGGCTCTGTATAGACAAGCGTAATTCCCCTGGAGTGTGTGTGAATGCAAGGCCCTTGGTAGGATTTGCAAACAGTGGCTGGGGGGAGGCTTTGGGCCCTTCCTAGAGGAGTCCCACCCCTCCCTTCCCCAGGGAGCAGGAGCTGGAGCATGGGCCAGGGGATGGGGGTGGAGGTGAGGCCCCAAAGGTAGAAGACAGCAGGGATGTCACAGGCCCAATGTGGTCTAAACCTGGGGCTGTGGGCAAAGCAGAGGAGAGAAGAAGAAGGTCAAAGGGAAGGCGGGAAGAGAGGCCCAGAGACTGGTGCCCACCTGAGGAGTTCAGAGGCAGCCACAGGCTCTGCGGCTCAGGGCAGCCTGATCCCGGGAGCCCCACAGGAAGGTAAGAGGCATTAGGGACCAAGGCAGGCAACTGAGGGCAGGACAGAAACTTCCCCTAGCCCAAGAGGGTTGAGGAGGTGATGGAAGTATCAACAGGGCCAGGATTATGATGAGGCAAGCGAGGCACCCCGGAGTAAAATGTAAGGAGATGCTCACTCTGCATTGCCAACTCTGTACCCGCTCAAGTCTGAGAGTGAGTGCCTCTGAAGTTCTGTACCCTAGGCACCTCCCTAGCCTGGACCTAGCCCTTCCCGGGAGCTCTGTACTGTGGGAGAGGACGCCACCATCAAGTGTCAATGAGGTGCAAGTCTCTAGCTAGGCAGGGACCTAGAGGAGGGAGTGTGGCTGCATGGGACCCAGAGAAGCTGAGAGTAACCCCTCTGAAGGGACCTGTGCCTCAGAAACCCTTTCTTGGCAGGGGCTGTGTGGTTAGACCCAGCTCAGAGAATCAAAGAACTCCGGCACTCTCCTCCCCCTGGACTTTCAGCAGAATCACAGCCATCCTTCATCACAGCCATCAAGGCGGCTGCCAGGAGGCAGGGAAGTGCTTGTGTGGCCCTGAGGGCCCTTCCCAGCCCCGTCTTGGAAGGGAGGAGGGAGAAGGAACCTTCCAGGGAGACTGGGGCTGGATGAAGTCACTGTTTTGGTGGCTTCAATGTAAGCTATTAATACTCATAAGGTGGTACTCCACACCTGTCACCGTGGCAACCTCGCCTCCCCAGCAGTGTAGATTCTGAAGACGGTGCCCAAGGGGGTGGGTGTCAGTGCATATGTGTTTGCATGTGTGTACACATGTGTTCTTGTGGGTGCCGTGAGTGCTTACACCAGCGCGCAGGAGAGGGAGGACCCCAGGCAGGGACTCAGAGCAGAACTGGGGCCCCTTCAACAGCAGCTTGGCCCCCACTCTCCCCTTCTCTCTCCCTCCTTTCTTTCTCCCTCTGGCTGGCTCCTTTCTCTCTCTCTCTCTTCCTCTTTCCCTCCCTCCTTTTGTCTTTCTCTCCTTCTCCCTGCCCTTCTCTGCTTCTCTCCACCCTTGTCACATTCTCTCCTGGCTGTCTCTCCTCTTTTGGTTCCTGGCCCTGTTTCCTCCTTGTGGTTCACCTCTCTCTTCCCCTTCTTTCTCAGTCTCCACAGCTCCCAGATGAGTTCAAGTCTTGAAGAGTCTCCATGTTGATAAAACAAAATATTTGTCTGAGAGTCTGCTTTCTTCCTTCCCTGAGTCCCTGGATGCTGAGCCCAGAACCAGCCTCAGGGATGGTCTCCCGCCAGGCAGGCAAGAGTGGGGTTCATCTAGGCCAAGCTGGGCTCCCCTAAACTTGAGACCACCTTAGTCAATAGCATGACACCTCCCTCCCTGTTGAGAAACTAACCTTAAAATAAGGAACAGCCACAGCCATCCCTAGCTGGGATACAGGGCCCCCTGCCATCAGCCAAGGCCCAGCCCACAGTTATTAGGCCATCAGAAAACCTATACAGGGGTCCTGCCCGAACTGCAGGGGATGGCTGGACGTGCTAGGAGGGAGATCCCTGAGTGCCTGATACATAATAGATACTCGATAAATATTTATTCAATGAATCAATAAATCAGTGAATTAACCTATCAATACGGCCACCCAGTCAGCCTGAGAGCCTTGCTCAGACCGGCCCAGCTGGCCAGCTCCCTTCTCAACAGTACCTTTTCCACAGAGTTTTCCCTGAGGCCAGGCCTTCCCTCTGAAGGACGGGAGTCTGTGCTACCCATCTGAGCATGGAATGAGCACCATAGCGCCTTCTTCCCAGGTGCATTGGGATTCAGCTTCACTCATGGCCCCAGTGACCATTTATTGAGCACTACTTGTATGCCTGGCACTGTGTGAGGTGCACCATGAGGAGCTCGTCTTGTGCTTTTGTGTACTCCAGTCCAGTTTCCCACCTCTCAGGACTGAGTTTAGGGCCAAACACACAGTAGTTCTCAGTATTGTCAAGATGTCAGTTCTTCCCAACTTGATTCATAGATTCAATGCATCCAACTCAAAATCCCAGCAAGTTATTTTGTAGACATCAACAAACTGATTCGAATATATGGAGAGGCAAAAAACCCAGAATAGCCAACACAATACTAAAGAAGAAGAACGAAGTTGGAGGACTGACACTACTCAACTTCAAGACTTACTATAGGGCTGGCCCGGTGGCGCAAGCAGTTAAGTGCGCGCACTCCGCTGCGGTGGCCCGGGGTTCGCCGGTTCAGATCCCGGTCGCGCACCGATGCACCACTTGTCAGGCCATGCTGTGGCGGCATCCCACATAAAGTGGAGGAAGATGGGCATGGATGTTAGCCCAGGGCCAGTCTTCCTCAGCAAAAAGAGGAGGATTGGCAGATGTTAGCTCAGGGCAGATCTTCCTCACAAAAAAAAAAAAAAAAGACTTACTATAAAGCTACAGTAATCAAGACAGTGTGGTATTGGTGAAAAAATAGACAGATAGATGTTGGAACAGAGTAGAGA